TGTGAGATATATATATATATATATATATATATATATATATATATATATATATGCATGTGAAAGTTTTCCGTTGCATGCTCAAAATTTTGTTTCAATGGCGCCCACTGTATTTGTTTTGATATATACAGGAGTAGAATAATGATGTAAGGTGTGATGAGATTGTGGTTGAGGCAACGAACGAGGCATGGTAGTAAGTAGTAAGAGTGAGCTTAGCTAACAATATATGGTCACAACCCCCTCACCTACAGCCAACTCAATTAAGTAAACTTAAATAGTTGAATTAGCTATTACGGTCCATTAATATTTATCTTATTACGTAGTGAATGACTCATATTGCTACTGCTCCTTAGTCCTTATTTATATTTTTTAGAGTAGCCATGCAAATGCAGTTATAAAATCTCTCTCAAACACTCAACTCCTCTCTCACTGGATTGAGTTCTTTCTGAAACAGGAATGTCTCACCTAAACGGCGCCGTCCTCGACGATAGGCTTCCGTTCTTCAACCAATCCATGGAGCTAGTGCCAACAACAACCCGAACCCGTTCTCGAACCCTCGCCGAACTCCTTAAACGTGTCGAAGACGCCCAAAACGACACTCCCCCACCACACCACGTTCTCAACCTCTCCTCCTCCTCCTCCTCCTCACTCAACTCTCACCCCTTCGTCCTCTCCTTCTCCAACTTATCCTACAGCGTCAACCTCCGCCGCAAGCTCCCCTTCCTCCCGCCCGCCACCACCAAACCCAACGCCACCAAGCTCCTCCTCAACGACGTCTCCGGGGAGGCCAGGGACGGACAGATCTTGGCAGTCCTCGGCGCCAGCGGCTCCGGCAAGTCCACGCTCATCGACGCCCTCGCGGGCCGCATCTCCAAAGACAGCCTGAAAGGGTCCCTCACGCTCAACGGCGACGCTCTCGAATCCAGCCTCCTCAAAGTCATCTCCGCTTACGTCATGCAAGACGACCTCCTCTTCCCCATGCTCACCGTCGAAGAAACCCTCACCTTCGCCGCCGAGTTCCGCCTCCCCCGCTCCCTCTCCAAGTCCAAGAAAAAAGCCCGCGTCCACGCCCTCATCGACCAGCTCGGCCTCCGCTCCGCCGCCTCCACCGTCATCGGCGACGAAGGCCACCGCGGCGTCTCCGGCGGCGAACGGCGCCGCGTCTCCATCGGCATCGACATCATCCACGACCCCATCGTCCTCTTCCTGGACGAACCTACCTCCGGCCTGGACTCGACCAGCGCCTTCATGGTGGTGAAGGTCCTCCAGAGAATCGCTCAGAGCGGAAGCATCGTCATCATGTCCATCCATCAACCTAGCTACAGAATCTTAAGCCTCTTGGACCGCTTGCTCTTCCTCTCCCACGGCAACACCGTCTTCAGCGGCTCTCCGGCCACCCTCCACCCCTTCTTCTCCGAGTTCGGCCACCCCATCCCGGAGAACGAAAACCGCACCGAGTTCGCTTTAGACCTAATCCGCGAACTCGAACAAGAAGCCGGCGCCACGAAAAGTTTAGTCGACTTCAACAAGGGCTGGCAACTAAAAAGCAGAAACATGGGCCAGGGCCATGAACCCAAAGCGAAAGTCTCACTGAAGGACGCCATCAGCGCTAGCATTTCCCGAGGGAAGCTTGTTTTAGGGTCTAACGGTAACGGCAAGAACTTAACCGGTGGCGGCTTTGCGAATCCGTTTTGGATGGAAATGTTTGTTATAGGAAAACGGTCTCTAACGAACTCACGGAGGATGCCTGAGGTATTCGGGATTCGTTTGGGTGCAGTTCTGGTGACGGGGGCAATCCTGGCAACCATCTTCTGGAAGCTGGATGATTCACCCAAAGGTGTTCAAGAGCGCCTCGGCTTCTTCGCATTCGCCATGTCCACCACCTTCTACACGTGTGCCGAAGCCATTCCTGTTTTTCTCCAGGAGCGTTACATCTTCATGAGGGAAACCGCTCACAACGCCTACCGTCGCTCCTCCTACGTCCTGGCGCACGCCATAATCTCCCTCCCTTCATTACTCTTCCTCTCCCTGGCCTTCGCGGCTACTACCTTTTGGGCCGTGGGCCTGGCTGGCGGAAGTTCCGGCTTCTTTTTTTATTTTTTAGTGATGGCCGCCTCCTTCTGGGCCGGTAGTTCCTTCGTCACGTTCCTCTCCGGGGTGGTGTCCCACGTCATGATAGGGTTCACGGTGGTGGTGGCCATTCTGGCCTACTTTCTTCTCTTCAGCGGCTTCTTCATCAGCAGGGACAGGATTCCTCCTTACTGGATATGGTTCCACTACCTGTCTCTGGTGAAGTACCCGTACGAGGGAGTGTTGCAGAACGAGTTCGACGTGAGATCTCCCAGGTGCTTCGTTCGGGGGATTCAGATTTTCGACAACACGCCCTTGGGGATGGTGCCGGACACCCTCAAGGTGGAGCTTCTGAAGAGCATGAGCCAGACGCTGGGGATGAATATAAGTAGCTCCACGTGCGTCATCACCGGAGCGGATGTGCTGAAGCAGCAGGGGATCACGCAGCTGAACAAGTGGAACTGCTTCTGGATCACGCTGGCTTCGGGTTTCTTCTTTCGCTTCCTCTTTTATTTCGCGCTGCTCTTTGGGAGCCGAAACAAACGGAATTAACTCCTACTGCTACCCTAATTTATCTTCCACACCTACACTACGTACGTGTTACTTAAGCTTATTATATACTTTTAAGTTTCGGAAAAACTCATACTCAACACCTTCTTGTGTTTTGAAAATCATACCAAAATACTAGTTGTATGTTGCATTTCCTTAATTCCATCACCTATTCTGTCTCCAATCTCCATGACCAAAATAATGATAACAATACTGAACCATTTAGGGACCGATATAGTCGCTCGCTAACTATGTTATATACACTTTTACACGACGTGTATGTTATCTTTTACATATTTTTAAATAAATATTGTATTTCTCAATGATAAAAAAAAAATATTACAGTTTTACATTAATTATTAGCAACATTATCGCATATGTCCCACCATGCTAAAGTTTAAACAAAAGTTAAAGGTACCCGGTTTTCAACAAGTACAATATTTAGTAAGAAGATTTTGAAAAAACTTTAAATTTGTCATCAAGTGCACATTCATCTTTTATGTTTTGAAAAAACTTGCTAATACTTTTAACATATTGAGACATAAACACACTAATATCCAAGGTAAATGTTCAATATGTCATCGGTCTGAGATTGGGTTGTACGTCCAAAGATACTAGTCAGAGATATTATTTGGACGTACACGTTAGAGAATATACCCAATGATTGATAAATTGATATATTTATACTCATAAAATATGTTATCAGTCATTAAGTGAATTAAAGACACATTATTGTTTGTTTAAAGGATAGTAACGATTTAATATTACTCTCTCGTGCCCTCCCTGTGATATTCAGAAACATGCAAGCATATAGAGTCTTTTATCATATTTGGCTTGCAATTTGAGATTGTAAAAACCTAACTCAAACTGAATCACAACTTTTTTTTTTTTTTAACAGAAACTAAACCACAACTGATATATAATATATTAATATGTTTTTCTCAAATGCACAATATAGGTAGGAGTGTTTCAAAAACCAAACAAACTGAAACAAAGCACATTGATATATATATATATATATATATATATATATATCAAGTGGAATGATTCTAAATTTCTTATAAAGTCTCAAAACATTTTTTATGACTTGAAGTTCCGAATTTGTAACAGTGATATAACTTGATAAATGACCAATATCAATTAAATTTAGCTAATGAGCCATGACGAATGAATATTTAATTTTATTATATTTGTTTTTAGTATTTTTCTATAACTATGTAAGTGAAAGTTACTAAACTAAATTTTATAATAAAAAATTATAAATCTTTTTATATAATATGTTTTAACTAATATGTTTTTAAAATTGTAAAAATTGAACTAAACTAAATAGTAAAAAAAATTGTTTGGTTTTGGTGGAGTTACCAAGAATACCCAATCTAATTGGTTAGCAGTGATGAAAATTAGTGGAGGGGATAATAGTTGTTTCTCCTCAAATAATTTCAATGTGCTCCAAATCTTTTTTCATGAACTTAAAGCCTTTAAATAAAAATGAATAATCATGAAGGAGGAAGAGGTTGAGATACACCACTTCAACGTGAAGATGAACAAGAGAGGAAAAACTTGCTACAAGGAGGAATTATTTAATAAAAGTTCACTAGGAGAGATTTTCCCCAAGAGAGAAAATTAAGACCTTTGAAAGAGAGAACTCAATGTTATTTCTCACAAACGCTCAATAGTACACTACCATGTATAGAAAGAAGGTATTTGTAGGGCTTGGTAACTTATGGTTCTGGTTGAATTAACCTAGGTTAAATGTAACCTATGTTAGATTAACTTGAATTTATGACGCTCAATAGTACACTACCATGTATAGAAAGAAGGTATTTGTAGGGCTTGGTAACTTATGGTTCTGGTTGAATTAACCTAGGTTAAATGTAACCTATGTTAGATTAACTTGAATTTATGACGCTCAATAGTACACTACCATGTATAGAAAGAAGGTATTTGTAGGGCTTGGTAACTTATGGTTCTGGTTGAATTAACCTAGGTTAAATGTAACCTATGTTAGATTAACTTGAATTTATGACGCTCAATAGTACACTACCATGTATAGAAAGAAGGTATTTGTAGGGCTTGGTAACTTATGGTTCTGGTTGAATTAACCTAGGTTAAATGTAACCTATGTTAGATTAACTTGAATTTATGACCACTAAACCTAACCTAATTATCATTTGAAATTCAAAATTTTCCTCATAAAAAATGTCACTATCCTAGATTTAGAAGAGTCGATAGAAGTTTGTCACACGGTAAGGCACAATAGTTGTGACTCGTGTCAACATCCTAGATCTAAAATAGTCAATAAAATCCTTTGACATGACAAGGTGCCAAAAGTGTGATTAGGTATGACTCATGTGATTTGTTGGAGTTTGAATTAATCATAGAGCACTTTCTCCACTAGAATTAGACATCCAAATGCTTTAGACCTAACATTCAAGATGCTTTCACGATTTAATTCAAGCCCAACAAGCTCGTATATCATTTTCTAGTTACACACCCTAAAATACTATCTACACTTTTAAATAAATTACAAGGAAATAAGTTCCTATACTATTTGATCCAAAGATATAAGGTCAAAATTTTAGAAAATATTTACAAAGAAAAGAAAGTAAGCTACTAAAAGTAACCTGAGGTTAAAAAAGAATTTGAACCTTCTTCCTTTAAGCCTAATCCACTCTTCTTGATTCCTTTAGTACTTGACTCATTGGCATGATGTCATCAAACAAGATGATAAGTGTCTGTTTTACCTAAAATGTATGATCATTTTGAAACTTATCTAACTTGAATTAAAAGGTTTTTTCTTCATTTTAATCCCTATAATCTTAGAAGGAATCAAAAGGTTGTACAATTTAATATTTTTTAAAGAGTCGATAAAGTTTTACTTATAATTTTTTTGTTTATATCTTGGACATATTAAAGAAAATCAAAGGTCTCAAAATTGTTCAACCGTTTGCAAATCGCTTCAGAGGTAGAAAGCAAGAATTGGAGAAAATCTAAAATTGCTCAATCATTTGAAAAAGGGTTGAGAGATTTGGGTCGAGAGAAGATGGAAAATTTTTTACTCTTAAAAACTCAACGAATTCAAAATGACTCAGCCATTAAAATTGTTTCAGCATGAAAAATTCTCCAAATCGCTCATTCGTTTGAAAATGGCTAAACAGTTTATTTTCTTTCCTCCATACTCTATTTTATCTTGCTGCATGTATATGAGGACTTGGGATGAGAAAAATTGGAGAGAACGAAGTATAAGTTAAAGTGAAAATAATAGAGCTTACAATGAGTCTATGAACCAGCTAAGAAAGAGGATATAGAAATTTTATTTTCTTCTTCTACTCTTTTCTCCATGTATTTTGGATTGGTTCTAACTATCATGTGTATTATAAAGGAAATTTGTATCTAATAAATAAAGAAGTGTAAAAAAGATAAATAAGATTACAATCAATCAAAAGCCCAGCCCAATGCAACTTTTTAATAAAAGAAATAAAAAAAAAAATCTAGGGATATACGAGAGAGGGGTCTGGTATAAATAATAAATCGTAGGGAAGAAGGCCATTCACTTTGAAAGGGTTAGGTTTAGAGAGAAACACCAATTGGCTCCGAGGTAACCCCTCTCTTCCTGCTTTCTCTAGATTTCATTCACTCCTCTTTCAATTCGATTCCCTTTTCACTTTTGATATCAGCCCTCTATCGGATTTTTTCTTTGCATGTTACTCGCTCTCTAATCTCATCAATTCCCGATTCAACAATTCATCGATTTGTTCGTTTTCACCGACTTAGGCTTAAAACTGATTGCAAGTTAGAAATTCAATTTGTTTATCCCCCATCCATTCCCGTGCATTTCAATTTTATTATATTTGTTATACGAATAATTACTGTCTTCCCTTTTGCTCTTTGTTCAATTTTTCTCTTCATGTTTCTTTTCATCAACCTACCTTCTCTCTAATATCGTCAATTCTCGATTCTATAATTTTTCGATTAGTTTCTTGCCCCCGACTCATCATTTATTCTCCGTCCACTCCCGTGTATTTCAATTTTATTGTATTATTGTGTATATGTTATGTTTATATACGATCAATTGTTTGTCGCATTGAGAGAAGGGGTCTCTGCGTAGCCTCTTCCTTAATTAATTTCGAAATTTCAGTTTTTAATTTTGCAGAGCTAGAAGAAATCAACTATGCCTCGCTATGATGATAAATATGGCAATACCCGCCTCTATGTTGGACGCTTGTCTTCGAGGACTCGTTCCCGTGATCTGGAGCGTGTCTTCAGCAGATATGGAAGGGAATGTCCCTTTTCTCCTTATCCTTCAAAATATGCATAGAAACACAGTCTTAATTATTGCTCGTGTGTCGTCTGTTTGGACGAAAAGCCTTTATTGTTGTTAGTTCCTCGATTGTTGCTCAGAGGCGGAAGGATGTTTTCCGATGTTCTGTCCCATCACTTTAATGTCTTAGTTATTTGATTTGTGCCAATTTATTTATGGAATTCTCAAGCCTTTTTTTGATTCATCTTTATTGATTACATTGGCAAGGCAGCTAAGTTAGTGATAAGTTGGCGTGGGTTGCCAACCATGTTTTATACTGAAAGTTGGGGGATGATAAAGAGGTTTTATCCAAGCTTGGTTTTGAGCTTGGATTTATATTGGTTATTTGTCATGTTATTTGGGGGAGCCAAATTGTCTAGGTGTCAATTTTTTTTAACTTGAACGATCTTGTTGAAGGTTTCTGGGGTTTTGGCTAAACCTGGAGGTCTGTGTTGGGAGGTTGGCCTTGGTGGAATTGATGGAAATTCCTGTCGAGTGTTGACTTTGGCGATTCTTTCTGTAATGTTATTGCGTGTTTTTTATGGAAATGGCAACAATCACAAACTGGTGTTTAGTTCCTCTTTGTGGGGCGAAGTATCATACAGTTCCAGTAGTTAAGTAATGATGGCCTTACTGTTTCTGGAAACCATTTCCGCAGAGTTCGAGGTGTGGATATGAAGCATGATTTCGCCTTTGTTGTAAGTTGCCATCCTTTCATTGTCTTTGTTTATTTTTTTTTCATTTGACTTCAATTTCTCCTCATGCCTTTGCTCCAAGGTGGGTTTTTAGTATCTGCTGGGAGGATTTCGGTTGTGATGGTAAGATTATTTGTTACTTTATTGGTTTGTTCCTAACATCTT